AATAGTATTGTAAAAGTACAAATGAAAGTGATGCATGAGCAACATTCGTAGTGGGAACACAACCAGTTAGAATCGATTTACAGTAGCGCTCAAAAGTACTCGGCCCACTTTAACTTGCCGTAACTTTTTTCCCAGTGGAGCAAATCACATGAAATTTTGATATGTTTAGCTGAAGCATATTTTACACTGTTCAACACTACTTGACTGCGAAACAGCCATATCCGCATACTGATGGGAAGGCGTTTGTAGACTGTGCTGAAAGCAAGTTTGTGACTTCTGCAGTCATTCCGACCTTATGTACGTTCTTCTTCTCTTCTGGGTTCGGCATTAGTGCTCGTACACTTAAGACATGGCAAAAAGGAAAGGACTGCTAGAAGGACCAGTGTCCCTGTTTTCAGTTGGTCTTGATTTCAAGCTCTTTGGGATATTTGGAACTTGATCAAAATGCAGGTTAATAGTGGTTAATATTCACACTACACCTATGCTACACATATAGAAATTTCGCTTGAATAGATCCAGTAGAAAAGGAGTTATGACTGCAAAGTACGAGTGAACAAGCATTTGGCCGAATACTTTTGAGCGCTACTGTAGATACGGTAAGCCTAAGTCTTACTACTAGATGTGATGCAGGAAGAAGAAAAGGCTCAGGGATATGACTTCTTCGTAATCATAAATACTAAATAGTAATAAGAGCGCATGTTTCTGCGATCTTTATATCCGACAGGCTCTCAATGTTGTTTGCACAAAGCAATATACATATTCTGCAACAATATAGGCCTATGTTTTGTATTATACATGCATGTATGCCTTTTTATTCGTTTGTACAACTGATTCTCTTATTGCCCCCTTCAATTATTCGGACATTCTGCGTGTGAGGATAGTAGTGTTCGTGAAAGTCGTCAGTAGTATTCACTGACTGTGTAAGTAATATAGGAGATCTTTTCTATATGTGCAATAGTGTGAGACTTACACAGCCAATAAACGAAGCTTCTTTTATTCCAAATCACGATCCCTTCCCGTTTCACTCTTGTTCTACAAAGCCCGTTTGATGACACCTCTTCAACGATCCATGGATCTGTTTATGCTGAATTACAAACGTCCCTTTTATGGTGCGCCGCTCTAGACAAACAACCCGGGATAAGGTTAAATTAACAGGCGAATTACTATTGAACATTCGACATGCGTAACTGCTCATCTTGCCCATCTGTACAGCTGACTTCTGATAAGTACCGCTCTTGGACTTCAGCTTCAGAACGGAATTCACAGAAAAAAGCCAACTTCTGTTTGGGGAAAGCTTGACGTTTCGGAAAAGAAGCTTCTGCTGAAGAGTAGCATAATCCCTTTTTTCTACTTCTCAAAACTTGTTCTCGAGCCCACTGATTGAAAGGACGTCTCTTGTCCCCCAATCGAGGACGAATGTGCGACTCTGGCTCGCGACGGGGACGAATGCCAACGTTACTGGCGCCCGCTCGAGGAAATCGATAATCATTGAGACGACAAGTGATACAGATGGTGGTCCAATTATTGTGTTTGTATAGCTACCACCGTTAACGCTTCTTCTTTGAGGCCAAAATGATTAGAATCTATGAAAATCTGAGCTTTCGATGTAACCGAGCACTCTATTGTACTTTTCACGAAGGTAGAAAACTTTACCTACTTATTGGTGTTCCATTTACTTTACAACTATTAATAACTTATAGATCTGATCACTTCCTTCAGACTCCATGTAACTAAACAACAAGTACCTCTACTGTTCTTCGAACAGCTGACAATTTTCCGTCCGCTTGCGTAATTTTATAAGAAATCAGTTGAATAGTTACGTCGAATCATCTGATGTTAATCATAAAGTGACGATACATATTGAAAAATTGCTGAACAAACTGAAATCGGTCCCATAGGTTGGTGGTCATGTCAACTATCACCATAAGAATGGTCGCGGAAAATGGTCTGAGGATGGTCCGTCGGTATGTATAGGATCCCATAAGTGTCGCTCACTTTAACTGAAACCAGCACATGGAATTCGTCAGGGACCTACCACATTCAAAAGGGTGGGAATGCCGTGCAAAAACACTTGGGCCAGGAAGAATGCCCCGAGAGGCAAAAAGAAATAAATAGACTCGCAGGATCCTAATTATGGGCCAACGTTGGACATCCAACAAAATGCAAATCCATATGCCTTCCGGGCAATGTCTGTCAGTGTTCCGAGCTGAGAAAATAGCAAGATACTCAAGATCAACTTGCAGTGGAACAGACTACTGCTGAGTAACATACCACCTAGACTAATTAGTCGTGATATTTCATGAAGTTCCGCTCTAATGTGGGGAATTGTGCACATAATATGGGATTGATGATAAGTAATGAGGAGGGAACCCAAAAACATTCACTGCAGCACAAAACAGCGAGCGCCCTCAATGCACATTATCGATGCTTTGTAAAATTTTTATAAAAAATCTTATATATCAATGTCGGCCTATTGGGAATACGTCCAAGGTTCCATATTTGTAACAGAAAAATAGAATAAAATTAGCTATTATAATAATACGAAAATGAGTCTTACTGTGGACTGAGACAATTGAGAATCCGTCCGGCCCATGTGGAGCTACGAGTCGGTGGTCGGAACGAGAGCGTCAGACCGCCTCGAGCGATTTTGGGGGGTGAATTCATGAGCCCTGAAAAATTTCTATGAAAAAAGGCAGATGCAGAACTTCCCAGAACAAACGCGGAGGTAAAGTTACGGCTGATTCAGTTACAGAATTGCGACAGTCATCGATAGAAAAACGGAGTATGACTTGATTGTTGAGTTTTAATAGTTGAAAGTATTGTAATTCTAAAAATCTCAGTGGCCTCTAATCCATAGAGAGCCTATTCAATTCTGTTTAAAGTCGTCGTGTAGGTATATGAGATATGTTCGTTGCTAAAACTCTGCCACGCGGGACTTGTACACGATACGACCTCAAACTTGGGTAATTAAACCTTTACTAACTAAGATAATGATAATTCTGATAAGAAACACATCAAAGGATCAAAAGTGCGCTACACTAACTCCTCCCGAGAAATGGATATAATACCAAGCGGGTTCTAATGCTAATCGTGCTAAGTGTACTTAGAGATCCTATGAATGAAGTTAAACTCAAAGTGACGGTGCATAATCAAGAAATAAGAAACTGAGAGGAGAAGTTCAATAGAACGAATGATTATGATTTCACCCGCATGCTTATATGCGGGCGCCAGCCTGCTTCTCAAAACATATGCGTGATGATATGACAGATAACGCATTGTTCGAGTTACTGGTTACAGTAAACGTGTGGCTTATGCTGAGAAAGTTCCATTAACATCAGAGAACAGAGCAAAGTATCCAACAAATAATAATAATACTGAAATACTGAAGTTTTCAGTATACTCCGGCCCCAAATTAAGGTGCTTCATAACTCCTTCGGTAACGCTGAGGTCGGCTGGTCCTTGTAGTTTCTTGTCGTGCTTGTGCTCGCGTCTCTGAAGAGTTCCTGAAGTCAATACTTTCAAGTGCCTTTTCACAGAACTCAATTATAATTTGCATTTCTCCTCTTCGTTTAAGTTTGTTTTCGACTTCTTCAGGTTTCCTGCAGACACTGCAGTGATGATCGAAGTCGTCCTGGTACTTACCAGCCTTACAATAAAAACAAGGCAATTTTTTAGTGCATTCCTTACGATAGTGGTACCCGAGACACTCCTTACATCTTTTTTCCGAGTTCAATATTTCCAGTCGTTTGGATACGAGTCGTACTTCCGGGCAAGCATCTGAGTAATGCCTGCCCTTCGTTTTACAGTATACACATGCCATCCCTTCCTCAGTCTCTTTCATGACTCTATCGCCATAACGTCTTTCTTTGATGACATTGTAGCTGAGGAAGTCATCGATCTCTTGCAATTCTTGCAAGCTTTGCTTCAAGATCGTTTCATATTTCTCCTTGTCCGCGGTAGGGATGTGTACTCCATAGTGTTTCCTTTTGTATCCCGTTCTTGAACAGCCGGGACTAGTGCAATCGTGCTCCATTTGTTTTTCTTCTTCCCGACTACGTGATTCCATCAAATTTTCTTCGATCTTTGCGGCAAGGTGCTGGCATTCGTTCATGTATCTCGTCATTTGAGTTATAATCTCCCTCTGGTTTGCCTCTACTCTTTTAAGTTCCGCTGCCATTGCTTTCGAATTCTCCACATTTCTTTTGTTTTGTTCCATGAACGAATAGTAGCTATCCCTTACAGTCTCAATCCATTCCGTGTTGTCTTCCTTTTGTCGGCGTATCTCATCTTGCAAATCATCGAATGATTCACGCATTTGACGCAACGCCTCGTCTTCCAGTGTGGTATTTCTCCTAGTCTCTGCCTCCGCGAATTCACACGCCTCCTTTTCTTCTTCGAGTAGGGCGTCGAATTTGATGAGTTGGTGCCTGATCATTGTGGTCACGTCCTTTTGATAGTAGCTTCGGTGCATTTTAACTGGTTCCGGGTAGTTTCGGTCTCCAGGTTCTGTTGGCTCCACGTACTCCTCTTCTCCCAGTTTGCTAAGGAATTCGAGTCTGGAAAGTTCTTCCACTTCGTCCGCGGTTACCAGTATTTCATACCACTCGTGCGATAGAACGAACAGTTCCGTAAAGGTGACGAGCTCTTTTCTTTGCTGACGATGTGATGCTGCCAGCTGTCTGAGTTTCACTAAGTAGTGAAACGCTCCGCCTCTTCTATTAAAAAGGTGTTCCTTATCGGATCTTAGTGCGGCGTACTCATAGCGTGCCTGTTGAATCATTTGGTTCGCCTCGTAGCATTTGTTTCCATAGTAGCGAATCCTTTCTTGAATCAGTCCTTCTGAGGGTCGTGCGTGTGAGCTCTCTACAATGGAAATTTTCCTGTACAGTTCTTTTCGTAGACGATTCTCGAGATGATCGGAAGAAGACATCTGAAAGATCTTCCATTCATTTTCTCGGTACTCGACTGGAATAGTATCCTTTTCGAAGAAGCTGATTGTTAGTGCAATCGTTCCATATGATGATCGATATATGATCGTGCTCGTGTATAACGACAATTTTAGTATAGTTTTCCTTCCGGTTTCGCCATGTTTTCTCTGTGTAGATGGTGAAATAATCTCGCTGGCATGCAAATGATTATCCTCGTAATCTGATATAGCAATCGACAAATAATTTTAATGAGGCGATAGATTGATCTCAGGATAAAAAGGCATGCAGTGTTAGTCAGAAAGATGTATGTTGTCAAAAGTGCCATACACACAACGAGCGCTGTGATGAGCAGTGTTCCGCTCCATCCGAGGAACACATCTAGGATATGGCTGATATCTGGGAAGTTAATTTCCGAAAAAACTTCGCTTTCTCCACTAAGAACTCTTCTTAGAGCCGTACTTAAGACTCCGGTATAACGAAGAATACCGTCTATCTCGAACGCTTGTTGGATCCTTCCACATTGTACCGTGCAATTGAGATGGAACTGTGCTCGTTTAGGAGCGAAGCGAAGCTGTGATTTGGTTCCTTGAGATGAACAGGGGACCGTGAATCCGTAGTCTCCGCATCGGATTTCTGCTCTTTCTTCAGGTGTAGAAGATGCACATATAATTTCAGCTAGTGCTCCTTTTGCGCAATTATAGCAGCCTGTGCATTCTGTGCTTTTTACTGAACAAACGGCGTCTGATGTTACCGTCGTTGTATGAAGCTCGTCCTTAATCCTAACGATGAACTCTGCCGTAGGTAAATTCGGTATACGTGCCACCACTAGGTCGCGTTGCCTTCGAAATTCCACATTTGGTCGTATGATGGGTAATTGATGTTCGGGATTGAGCATATGAGCAGTAAGGTTCAAATTTTTGCAATCACATAACATTTTTACTTCTGCGGGAGTGCATTTGCAGTCCTCCACTATTTCACATGACATGTTTTTAGCTTCTGCCCAGGTACCACATCTTATTGGTGGGGCATATCTGGGTGGTGCCAAAGCCATATGACTTTCATCTGATACGAAAAGTGAGCTCAAAGACGGTGTCGGAGGTACGCTCAATGATGAAAGCGTGATAGTGGTTGGAGGTAGTCTTCGGGGCTGGTTAGGTGAGAGGCTAAAGTGGTGAATCTTTGTCTCTCTGTTAACCTTGCTTATTGCCATCTGTACTTGTACCATCTCCTTCCACCGAGTGCAACGGAAAATTTCATAGACCGACTCGTCGTGAGGGATAAGATATATCCTGTAGAAAAGACAGCCCGAGCTAGGATAGAAGCAATCACAGCCTATTCCTCCGCAGCTTTCCGCACATCCGGTGACTCCTGGGAGGTGGTTTACTTTGTCGAGTTCAGGTATTAACGACGTCCTATTAACTGCTCCACACTTTTCGCCCGTGCACGATCCCTTGTGTGGACATCGTTTGCTGTCGAGAAGCCCGTACTTCGTGCTGCGTGTGAACATTACCGTTTCCTTTTCGCATATTAGGTCGAGGGCTTTCCATAGCAGCTTAATTTCCAAGAGATTCGTTTTGTTGTTGGTAAGACGAAGACAAGCTTCCTGTTTGAAAGGGTTAATTTTTATAATTTCTATCGTATCTATGGTGCANCGCATACCTCGTATTGATGCCGTGATTTCTGAGACAGTACAACTCCACCTTTTGTGCATTTTATTGAGTGGCTTTCACCAAGTTCCGTTGCTCTGCTTTGGTTTGTGAGAAGAAGTAGGATTAGGAGGAAGGGTGTGATTTTGATGAAGTTTGAACGGAAGTGCTGATGTTCGGAGGGAAATGATGAAGGTGGGGTTTTCTTTGTGCCGAGGCGTGTTGAGTCGGAGTGTTGAGAGGTGGAGGGGGCTTCTTTTCGTTCGTTGATACTATCTTCGTCCACTTCCTGGTATGAAGCGGGTTTGCGTTTGCGTAGATTATACTGCGGTGGTGATGTTGATGAAGGTGTGGGCGGATTGTGTGAATGAGACTCTTCCCACGGTATTTCGAGTGGCACGATTTTATTTACTGGTCGTCGTACTTGAGTTCTGTTCGGTAATTCTATTAGGACTTCTCGTATTGCATCCGATGAGTGCCTTTGAAGTTTTACGATGCGCCCTATTTTCCATGTGTTCCTTGGTTGTGTTGGGTCGCACAGTAAAACAACACTGCCTTCGATCGGTTGCTTGCTTGTGCCACGTCTGTTGTCCATGTGCATTTTGTGATGTTCTCTGAGACTGGTCAGATACTGCGTGCTCCAGATATTCCAGAATTTCTCTGTCAATTTTACTGACGATTTGAGTGCTTCTTCGACTCTTCGTTGATTCACAAGCTGTTGTGCCTCTTCCGGAGTGTGATATGTCGTATCATTACTTCCTTCGTTGGTATATTCGAACGGGTAATCGAGTACAATTTCATTCTGTAAGAAGTCAATGGGCCGCAGAATGGGCTGTTGTTCCCATTTCTCTTCTTGGTAGGTTAGTGGTCGTGAATTCAATACGGCTTCGATTTCTGTAAGAATTGTTCGAAGATCGTCGAATGTTACAGTCTGTTTTCCGAGTGCTTTGTATAACGAGTGTTTTATGGACTTGATCAGCCTTTCGTAAAATCCACCCTGCCACGGTGCGTAAGGCGTGATGTGAATCCATTCAATTTCTCGTCGGGCTAGCGCACTCTCTACTTTTTCACTTTGTAACATGCGCTTGATCGCATCGAACAGAATTTGTTCTCCCAGGAGAAACGTAGGTGCGTTATCACATGTAATGGTTTTCGGTACTCCCCTCCGTGCAAAGATTCGACGGAGCGCGTTCAAGAAGGCTTCAGTCGTCATATTTTCCACGAGTTCTAAATGAATTAGACGCGTTGTGCGGCATGTGTAAATGCATCCGTAGGCTTTTGACTTGTCTTCCTTCGTGATTAGGATTGGCATTGGTCCGAAGTAGTCCAGTCCTACGTGTTCGAATGGTCGTGTTCTTTGGACTCTCGTTTTTGGGAGTGCTTCCATGTCAGGATACCGGAACGGTAAGTTGTTGAGCTTTTGACATGGTAGACATGATCTTATTATTTGAGACACTTGCTGGCGTAATTTTGGAATCCAAAACGATTCTCTGACAATAGCCATTGTGTGTGCTACTCCTTGATGATATTGAAAGTGTGCTTCCCAAATAATTAAACGGGCAAGGGCCGTCTTCGGCACTATGAATATTGGGGTATTTGCGGATGGAAGAGTTGCTGCATGTTCGAGTCGACCGTAGCAACGAAGTATTCCATCATGATCTGGCTTTATGTTTAAATCTTTCTGAGAGTTGATTCGGTGCTCGTCGACCATTGCTTTCTGATGGTCCTTTATGATGCATTTCTTCGCTTCTCGCAATTCTGGTCCCGTTAGTTCGTGCTTCAAAGAGGCTGTGCGAAGTGCTGGAATCGTTTGGAGTATAGCATCAATTCGGGTCGATGGAAGATGTTGTAGAAGGCGGCGGATGAACCTGAGAACGTATACTACTACCCTCTGCACCTTATGGAGGTTGTTGAAACGAGATAAATGGAATAATGTCGGCTCCTCCATCTCGCTTTTCCGTAACGCTATTAGGGTTGTTGTCGCGTTCTCTGTATCTAGGTCTTCAACTTCGTCTTCTTGTCTAGTTACTGGGAACATGTCGTTCTCTTTGAGTATCTGCGTGATACTCCCGTGCATGAGTTGAGGTCCATTCCACCAGATGTGCTCTTTGCAGCCAGCAGCAGTTAGTCCGCGTGTCGCGCAATCGGCTGGGTTAGACATAGTAGGTACGTGGCCGAAGAGTGTGATCGCTCCGTTTTCTTCTAAGTTGTTAATAATACTCCTTAATTCCTTGAGCCTATTTGCTACTAGTACTCCGACCGTTTGGGGATTAGGTGGAGATTTGATCCATCCTAATACTATTTCGGAATCCGTGAAGAAGAGTATTCTAGGTATCCGAATTACCTTGCTTAGTGACGTGTACGCGAAATGGGCTACCCTTGCTCCTAGTGTCAGTGCATTCATCTCCATTTTTGGGACAGTTATTGCCGTTTTTATTGACGGCAGTTTCGATTTCGCCATTATTAGGTTCGTCCCTGCTTCAAAGCTAAGATACACACAAGTGGCCATTGCGAACTGACTCGCGTCTGTGAAGACGAACATCGTGTGCGGTTCGTCGCAATTGGCAACTTTTCTCTCTATTTCTTTATAAAATGTAGTTATTTCGCTGATGATGGAGCGCCACTGCACCTGCAAGTGATGTGCCAAAGGCGTATCCCAACTGTACTCATCTTTCCATAGAGATTGAAGAAACACTTTGGCTGGTAGTAGTACAGGGACCATTAGTCCGAGTGGATCGAATACTGATGCCAACTGTTTTGACACTGTGCGTTTCGTGATGATTTTGGCTGCGGTCATTGTGCCCTTTAAGATTATCTTGTCACTGATGGAGTTCCAAGGTATTCCCAACACTTTTGGACAAGTTGCCTTTGTGAGGTCTTTACTATCAATGGTGTTGTTAAACACGCCATCGTTCGATAGAAACTCTCTAAGGTTCATGTTGAGCCCCTTAAAGATCTCTTTAGATATGTAATATTTATCGAGAGCTTCCTCTGAAGATCGTGCACCTATGATTAGGTTGTCCACGTAAAGATTCTCTTTGATTTCCCTGGCACTATTCATATTGGAAGTCATGTGATCCAAGTGAAAAGCAATTGTAGCTCCAAGGAGAAATGGCGATGTATTCAGTCCGAATGTGACCCTTGTGAATCTGTAGGTCACTATGTTATCAGGATCGGGTGGAAGAGAGACATTTCGTACCCATAGACAACGAGTTGCGTCTCGGTCAATCTCTTGCAAACGTACTTGTAAGAAAGCTTTCTCTACATCCGAGATCATCGCAATGTTGTGGGTGCGAAATCGAAGTAATATGGAGACTAGGTCTGGAAGCAGGAGCGGTCCTTGATAAAGAACATCGTTAAGGCATGGTTTGTCTTTGTAGTGTGCTGAAGCGTCAAACACGATTCTCATTTTGGTGGTTTCCTTTGTGGGAGTGATAACTGCTTGGTGTGGTAAATAGTGAATAATCGTGCCTTTCGCCACAGTTTCCTCGTGTACTTCTTCGATGATTCCTTTTTCTCGTTGCTCTCTGAAGATACTATCATACTGTGAGAGAATATCTCTCTTTTGTGCGTATATCTCAAGAGTTTTGTGCAACCGCTTTAGAGCTATCAATTTGTTATCTGGCAAAGAGTCACTATTCGATTTCCAGGGCAGTCTTACATAGTACCCGTCATAGCGTCTCTGTATAGTGTTGCGGAAATCTCGAAGAACCTTTTCATTAATTTGCCGAAGTTCCTTACACGTTGAACCTGAATATTCATCCGTTCCTGAAGATTCTAGAGCCCAGTAGCGGTCCCATATGTCTTTTTCCTTCTCCGAGTGTAAGATAGTGAGCGCCTTGACCGGTGTTTCTACTTTCAGTGGTTGACGGCCACTGATGATGTAGCCAAATAGTGTTGGTATCAGTTGAAGGCCGGAAGGTAAAGTGAGTTTGCCTATGGGCATCATAAACTCCCATAGATAGTCACATCCTAATAAGATCTCTGGTCTAAGTTTTGCTGTTTTCTTCTGTAATGATAACAGGATCCCGTGCTGATTGATGAAGTTCAAATCTTCTTGGTCAAGGGTTGCTTGCTCTACTGTATCCGTTATGTGTTCGCTGCGGAAGAGACGAATTTCGTGTTGACGGCCTTCAATATCTCGAATTTGCAGCTTACTGAGATCGCAATTCTTCGCTGAAGGTGCCTGTGAACCGAACGTGCTGATTTTGAGTGTGGTACTTTTGAGTATTGGTAACCCTAGTTCCTTCGCGAAGTCTTCTTTGATAAACGAAAGTTCTGAGCCTGTGTCTAATAAGACTGTTGCCTCCCGGACAATGCCACTCGAATCCAGGATTTTGGCCGAGCCTACTAGAAGAATGACCTTGTTGCATACTTTCTGTGGTCGCTCATGCACCTGCAACACAACTGTATCGTTGTCTTCTTTTTGTTTCGGTGCATCAGCTCCAGTAATGACCGAGTGTTGTTTCGCTGGTTTTCCGGGTTTACCTTTTTGAAGGTGTGATGATGGTGGTCTGGACAGGTGTTGTTGTGTGGACTGAAGAGTGCCGTGACTGGAATTCTGGTTCGTCGGTGGCTCTGAGTTTTTTGCACAGATTGCGGTATGATGTTTTCCCTGGCATTTTCGGCAACTTCCGGCGGTGCATGATGCCAGTCGGTGAGTATTTGATCCACAATTGAGGCATCTGTTTGACTCTGATAGGAAAGCCTTGCGGGCCGAGGGGGTTGGAATTTTGGGGCATGTACTCCATTTATGCCCTTTAAGTTTGCAGCACTCGCATGCTGCTGTGAGTAGTCCCTTAGTCGAGGGCAGTTGTGATATGTATCGTTCCTTGTCTTTGGCTAGCATATCCTGTAGCCTTTCTTCTTCTGCGATGATGTTGTCTATGGTGTTAAGCCATAGTTCCAACGTCCAATCAGAGTCTCCTTGCGTCTGCGCTTGTCGTGGCTCCTCGTGAGGGAGGGATGTCTCAAATTTCATGCAACGTTTCGTTGCAGCCTTCTGGATTCTTGCATGAAACTTTTGGAGAAAAGTATGCACGGTTAGATAGTTGTCCAGATGTTCCCCATGGTCCCGAAGTTGGGCCGCGATTGCTGACAACTTTTCGAATAGTTGTCGCTGATCTATTGTTCGTGCTCCACGTGCAGTGCAAAGGTTCAAGTTTCTGTGCAGTTCCAGAATTATGCCATCCTNAAACCTGGAACCTTGATATTGACTGCCTCGCTTCGCCCGTGAGTGATGATAGCAGGTAGTTGTATTTCTGCAAATCTGTCAGTTCTTGGTTGTGCACGTTTGCTAGGAATAACGCCCAATAGTTATCCCATTCCCACCGCTTTCCGCTAAAGTTCGGAATGGGTATCTCAGGAAGTTTACTAAGTGATAGGGGACTGGAAACCACCGCCTGTGCTACTGAGCCGTTTCTGTCTTCTGCCGTGCCTCTGCCGCTAGGATCCGTGCAGTCTTCCAAAGCCCGTAGCAGTTGTGTCTTGTACGTGCTCAGCTTGATAACCATATCGTTCGCTGAGTCCACATACTTGTCGAATTTTTCGTCATCCTCTGCTGAATGTTCCTCGAGTTCTTCAAAGGCCTCCCCCAGCTTGTCCAGTGAAGATTCTATGGTTACTATGCCTTCCTCACATATTTTTAGTCCAACCCGAATATCCTTGACTCGCTTCGACACTTCTATTTCGGTTGGGTGCTCAAGTAAGCTCTCGCTTTCCTTGAGCCACTCTCCGAAAGAATTGATTCGCCGTGTCAGCAACGATTTTCTTGTTCTTAGTAACGAT